TATATTAATTTACCATAACAAAATGTTCACATAATGTTAAACTTTTTTTAGTTATTTAATTCATTGTTGTTCTATTTTGTTTTTTCAAAAGGAGGTCACGTAACTACTGTTTGTCAATTTTCTTCTAATACTGATATTTATTCTGTGTCGTTTTTTTTGTACGTGGGGGAGAATAGGTGAGGATATATATTTTGAATATATAGAATATTTGATTGTGTAAATGTAGAACATAACACTCGGACATCAACCCGGAAAGAATAGTCCTGGATACGTGTGTCACTCAACCGTCGTATTAGACTGACACGTATGCGTTCTTACAACGTTTTCCTTTTACTGCTATTGTACACGGAAGAAAATTCCGAAGAACGTTTCGGACTTCATGTGTCAATTTGAGAAAAAACAATTTTACTGTTAAATTAATTTTTTAGTAATTTTACATTTTAAAAGCGTCACGTACGGTTACAGACAAAATGCTCGAAATGCTTGTAGTAAATTACGCTACACGTGTAACACGTGTACAATCATTTGAGCGAGTTTTCGATTTTTTTCCAAACGTGGAAAATCGAGCTATTGAAACGCAGCAATACGAAAAATAGAAAATTGTTCTCCGGTGAAATCTCACCGATTTGATCGCGTGTTTTTCAGCTTTGGGACATTTGTCATCTTGATATCCGACAGCACGTGCCAATTATCCTACTGCGAATTTTGTACACGTTTACACCTTATCGCATTTGTTACCTTTTCCCGTTATCGGTATTGTTGTAACAAACACATGATAAACGTCGGGTCTAGTGGCGAAAGGTACACACAGACATCTCCGCTTGTGTTTCCACGTCTGCCTTTTATTGGGACGTGTTAAATGATTTATCATAAATTGATTCACGCCGGCGCGTCTATATTCGTTCTACCTCGATGCCTCGCTCCTTTCTACCGCTTCATCTACTTCCATCTAATTCTCTCTCTCTCTCTCTCTCTCTCTCTCTCTCTCTCTCTCTCTCTCTCTCTACGATCGTCTAATATCCGCCCGGTTTACCTACTACGCTTTCCCTGCGTGCGTTTGTATACATCCGCCGGTGTGTCTCCCTCATCCTCGATCTCTTCTCCTGGGTTTGCTTTCTTCGTCATACCGGCGCGTGTTTGTTCAGTCGGCGGTTTTGGGGGCGGCGTGACGTCGTTTTCCTCGGATGCGGCGGCAAAGGAGCCGGCACCACGTTTGCATACCGCCGGTGTTTGCACGCGCAGCTTCCAAACGAGTTACCGACGTTACGAAGTTAAACAGGCTGGCGATAATCGCTATGGACAAGCAAAATTCACAGCTTCTTAATGAGTTTAATTTTTGTTCATTCACAGCCCTATCATCGGGCGCAGATTCGTTTTTCACGATAAAGCCGTGAACAGGAAAGTATACACAACCGAAAATTAGTTATCTCGATTTAAGCTTTACAATTTATAAGAGATCAAACGTTCCTTTGAATTTATTCTTTTAAACACGTCAAATAAATAACAAAGTAAAACGAGATTAAACTGGCGAATTGACTAAAAATAATTAATACATAAATCTGAACGCGCTTTCTAAAATTAATCAAAACCTTTTGTCTCTGTTGTTTACACGCAGAGACTGAATCAAGTTGATAGCTGGAGAACTGCAGAAGAGAAAACGATTGTAAAGGATGATTCTCTATTGAGAAATGGAATATTCGTTCAATGTCCCGTTTTCAATCTTTTCCCTTTTCTATGGCGACTGTGAAAGTACGTAAGGAGCGTTTTGTCAAAGTTTCCTCAGTGCATTCTTTACTTTGGCGAGAAAGTTGCACTTTGTGTGTTTGCGCGATGGCGAGGTGTTCGTGCACGAAAGTGTCAGCCATTTGTTCTTTGCAGATACGCGAAAATATCCGAGAAATCGGCGCGGATTGTTAGTTAAAGATTAATAGCTTCAGTTTTCAGATTCTCGACTCTCTATCGAGTTGAACATGTTCGTTCTATTTTCACATCACAGCAGCGGCAAGGAAAGCGCGCGAAGGTAACATACAGACGGAAATTCAATTCGGGTGTTCCATTCTCCCATATTCAGCGCAAATATATGAAAATATGCGAAATACAATTTCCGCGAGTCGCGCCAGTTCGTCCTTGAAACGCTATCCACCTACTTTCTTTTTATTGCTTCTTGGTGTGCTGGATTCCACCTTCGGTATATTTGCGAAGTGTCGTCGGTTTGCGAACGACGTGTCTGAGTCTACAGAGAAGAAGTCGCTTTTCTGTACGTTTGCGCTTCCGCAATGTTTGTTCCGGAGGTGCTATGCGCGAATTACACGACTTACAATTGGCGACGCAAATTGAATTTATTGCATTGAACAAAAACCAGTCGATGAAACATCAATATCACCGAATTTCGCGTTCCAGCTTGTAAATAAAAATCGCAGCGGTTTGACATTTTTAAAAGCAAAACGACGACGTGATTTTTCGCGGCTGTCACATCTCGTTTTGTCTATTTTGGTTATTTTGCTGTACGAATATGAGAAAGTGGGGAAAAGTTTGATTTTTTTTAATTTTTTTATCAAAGCGATCGTATATCAAATGCAGTAATGGGCGAGCCATATCGCAACGGTATCGACGCCGGTTTGTCGTCGAATTTCTGTTCGGTTATTTCGCGCAACGTCAACAATTCTACGATCTGTCCTGCCGAATCAGCGAGCTACTTTACATCCGCATCATACACCATGCTTAAATCCCGTATATGTCGGTCTCATGTATACACGGCGCCGGATAATGCGATGTATTACCGATCCACGACGGCGCTCGTGTTTGCTTTGAATAATTACTCCGGGATCGTCATGTCGGCGGATACGTATGTGTTCCGCCGTTATATCCGAGAAACGGATATTCGCCATACTCTCAAGTAAACACGCGATACGCACACCATACGCACGCGCGCGCGCGCACGCACGCACGCACACACGCACGCACGTACAGAGAAAGAGGGAGAGAGAGAGAATACGCACACGCGCACGTCCACGCGTACGGAATACGTAAACGCGTCCGCGTACCGCCTCAGTCTGTCGATGGTTCATTGTCTAAGTCATCAATTTGCGAGGTTCATGAGAGGATTTAACGAGGTAATAGGACTCGCAGGTGCTATTAACATTTTAATTGCGGCACTAACGACCCCTTTCCGCCCTACGCAACGTTTAATCGACACGTTTCGTAACTGATTATATCCGTAACTCGGTCGTTAATGTCGAGGAAATACGTTTTCTAAATATTGAACTTGCAGCTTTACTCTTTCCGACGACGGCGCAGTGATGTGTTTGCAAATCTCCTCAACGTAGTAAAATCTGCTTGCCGCACATACAACACATCACAATCCTTCAAATGTATCTACATAATTCCTATTACGTTGCGGAAACATGTGTATCTTATTGTTAGTTTGTTGCTTGTTTGAGTGTTCACGTAACACGTTTTGTGACGTTCAGCGCGCGTCCTCGTGCGAATAATCAGAGTCTGCGCGTATTAATTGAGCGTATAAAGGTGCGAGAGAATGAGAGAGAGAGAGAGAGAGAGAGAGAGGGAAGTCACGTGCACTGTGTCATTGTTGCAACGGGTTGCTTCGTGCGTACGGTCATTCATCACTTGGCATTAATTACATCGTATCATTAACACTGCCATCATCCGTAATGAATCTCAGAGCTTGCGCCATCAACTGATGCGCAGAATCTGAATGCATGCAAGATCCAGGTCATGCGGATTATGTGTGAAAATAACCGAGAATCGCGCACGTAATTTTATTTCGAGAGTGAGAAAATAGCTTCGGAGAATCAGATATATGAAATATAAGAAAAAATGGTAAAAAAAGACGCACTTGAGTAACAATAGAGAATATATACAAAGATGAGATAAAACATATTCACGTGACAGAATTTTCCCTAAATCAATTGATCGCTCGCAATTATCGAACTTGATTGAACTTCCTCGATAAACTCCTTATTATACTCCGGCCACCGCAAACTGCGCTTTTTTCCCTCGCCGCACTCGACGTTGATTCTCGCAGTGGAAAAAGCCGATACATGTCGGCCGCGTTCGCGCTCAATTAATCTCTGGCGTCGAGTAAAGTGCTTCGACGGACGATACCAGTTTCGAAGGTAATTCTTGTTACATCTAAGGTCAAAGGGAGGGAGAGGATAACGAGACCGCGGCGGTCGGCCGAGCCGAGTGTGTTAGGTGCCAGAACGATTGATGAGACGGCTATGAAAGCCAATAAAATAGCGCTCACGGTCGGCGCGCTGACCGCGCCCGGTATAAATCGGCAAGTAGACCGATTAATTGGGTTCACCCGATTGTGTAGCCCCCGTCGGCGCGAGCGTGCACGCTTTGTGCGGGGAACTTTTGTTTCCATGCACAGCCGCGCGTGCACATCCATGTATGTACGCGCGCGTTCGTGTGCAATGTTCTGCCTCCAATGCGTTGACTCTGGCTCCGATGGTTGTTGAAGCTGCCGGGGCCGTTCGACCAATTTGCAGTAACTCGATCGACGCCGACGGTGACTGACTAAAACTCTAAATTTGCGGTCTCACCGAGAAAACGTACGACAGCGGGTCGTGTTGTCACCAAATACGAGATACCATTTGCGTAGCCGCAGAGATGCGGCGAGACACAACTTGCTCGAAAACGCGCGCATTCCGATGGAGTAGCGCACTATTGCGGATTACACAATAAGAGAGGATTAGACGGATATGCTCGGTAGAGAAAGCTTGATTGACTAATGTGAATACAGGAGAGAGAATAATTTGCGCACGTGTGTGTGACGTGTAGAATAATAAGATTAATTCTGTTCGGAAAAACAAATTATTAATTGAATTACGTATACGTACGTAAATTACAAATGTTTTGCGAAAAATTCGGCGAGAGAGAGAGAGAGAGAGAAAGAGAGACTAGAGATAGTCGTATTCTACAAAATGGTCGTATTCTTTAGTAATATAACTCTGCCTCTTTCCCGTACTTTTCAGGATCCGTATTAGATGTTAGCGCAGTGGCCGGTTTCAAAGCTCAGATACCTTGCGACATTGATCCGCCGACCAAAGATGAGACGGCCATCATGGTATTTTGGTACAAAGACGGAAAAGACGGCAAGCCGATATACAGCATGGACGCTCGGAGAAGTTCGGTTAAGGCGTCGCTGTGGTCGGATCCGTATGTGTTTGGTGAAAGGGCAGTTATAAGGACGGATGCGAAGCCCGCTAAGCTGGAGATAGATTCTTTAGAATCTACGGATGCTGGTGTATACGAATGCAGGGTAGATTTTAAGAACAGTCCCACGAGATATCAGAAGATTAATCTCACGGTCATAGGTGAGTTTCAGCAAAAATATATCTACACAATTGAGAGTCGTCGTGTGTATTGATTCTATTTGTCTATCTTAACACAAGATGTTGCAAGATTAGATAATATTTAAAAAATCCAAGTTTGATACATATATATATGGTATTTGTATCCCTTTAATTCAAGAGGAAGATTATCTCGTCTGTAAAAATTTTTTTGCTTAGAGTGAAACATGTTTATAGCAGATAGAAATAATTTTCAATGATTTATTATTATTATGACATAAGATGTGTCGTATTTTATGATGCAAAATCGCGGCTTATCGAGCGGCACATTTGCGGGCGGATTGTGCTTTACGAGATTTTAATCAAGCGGCACACATATGGCCGGGACTGCTTCCATTCACCCGTGATTTATTCGTTTTGTATTATATCCGGCGGATACAGAACGGTGAGAACGGTGCGTAACCGCGGGAAACGGGTAGTAAATCGGAGAGATAGTTTGATTCGCCGGCCTCAAACTTCCGCGTAGTAGATATTAGATAAAGTCATGTGGAAATTCAGCCATGAGACGTAAATGAAGTTACGAAATCGGGAAATGTTATTGGATCAGTTTCAGCGAGTTACCAGAATAACCAGTCATCGTCGTAAAGTCGATGTCAAAGCTTCAGTCAGCAGTATTTAGTATGATTCTGATTTAATAAATGATTTTGATTTAATTGAACGTTATAGTGTCGACTCAACAGGTGTTGATGTTGCTCACCTGTAGTAAAAATGCTTTGCTCAAAATAAAAAATAAAAAAATAAATAAACATTTAGCCGCTTTGACTTAATTATCATTTAGCGTTTAATTCGACGACAATGCACGTTTACGACGAAGTCGATCTTATCACAAAATGATTAAGTAAAGCGTAATGTGAGACAACACGATATTGTCGCGTGCGCTGATTGATGTACATCATGGAAGAGTAAAGCTCTGTATAGAGTCAAAATTTAATTGCTGACAGTGCCGCCAAAAAAACCGGTGATATTTAGCGGCTCGTACGCTAGCGGAACTCCGATTAAAGTACAGTCAACGTTTAACGAGGGAAGCAAGATGTCTCTATTGTGCGAAGTGATCGGAGGGTCGCCTCCGCCACAGGTCACGTGGTATATCGAGAACAAAGTCCAAGATGGCACGTACATGCAGAAACACGACGATATAACGATAAATCGGTTGGACATCCTGGTCACGAGGGACTTGCTGTGGGCGAGGCTAATTTGTAAGGCGAACAATACTCAGCTTATGACGCCGTTGACCTCTGAGATCACCTTGGACGTGAATCGTGAGTAATTAGATCGTGTATAATTTGTGTTAATTTTATCATTGTTTGAAATACATTTGCGAATTATAATAAAAAAAATTCCCCGGCTTTTAATCAAATGAACGTTTTTTTATCAAACAATTCTTTATTATACAGTAAAGCCACTGGTGGTCAATATTACGACTAAACGATCTCACTTATCGGCGTTGAAAACGTATGACATCGAGTGTCTGAGTTCGGGTTCGAGACCAGAGGCTGTGATCACCTGGTGGAAAGGTCTCCATCAGGTGAAACACATGGCTAGAAATGTGAGTATATATTTCGCGAACGGACAACTTTCATTTTCGACGTGCAGAACACGTGTCCGTGTCACGGTGGCATGGATTCTGAGTTCTTCGTAGTTCGCAGATAATTCGAACGTCACGAGAAGCGTGCTGAGCTATGTGCCAACTATCGAGGACGATGGAAAATTCCTGACATGCAGAGCGGAAAATCCCGTGGTGCCTAACAGTGCCTTGGAGGACAAATGGCATCTACTGGTGTACTGTAAGTCAACACTTTCGCGCCTCGTTCTACGCGCCGTTACTTTAGATTGTAATTTGCGAGAATCTTCTCGTAAAGCTTGAAACATTGACTTGATATTTTAAGTTTGATATCTTTTACTGTTTTTTCACGATTTTTTTTAATATGAGACGAAATAAATAAGAGAGATCTGCTTTTCGCTATCGACTTTCAGACGCACCGGTGGTGAGCATTAGATTGGGTCTTAGTTTGAAGGCGAATGATATAAACGAAGGTGACGACGTGTACTTCGAGTGCGAAGTACGGGCTAATCCGAAGTTTTATAAGCTAATTTGGTTCAAAGACGGCGAGGAGTTGCATCAAAATACCACCGCAGGAATTATTCTTCCCGGTGGTAAATCGCTTGTCTTGCAAAAAGTGACGAAAGCCTCTGCCGGAGAGTATACTTGCATGGCGGTGAACGTCGAAGGAAGAACCACCAGCAGACCTGTAACTCTCGAAGTAATGTGTAAGTATAATATCGTCGTTTATGTTCAAATTGATATCCGATGAAATTCGAATTAAAATGCAGCAAAAGTATTTTCAATTAATCTTTCGAATACGCTTCTTTGATATCACGACACTATTATTCTAATTTTCTTAATACATTTATTTGCCTCTGCCCTATTGTAATATTATCGATATTTCTGGTATCTAAATTGCATTACATAGAAGCGTCAATTATCGACGCGCGCTTGCTGTAAGATATGGAAATCACCAATCGTGGCGGCTATATTTTTCTCGCGACGTGAACGACCGTGACATCTACCTACGAGAGTGGCAGTGTGCGCGCAGAGGTAAATTGAATCTACCAGCCGGCGCCCTCGTATTTTCAGACGCACCGATCTGCAAAGACGGCTCTTCCACCCAAGTGGTCGGCGCCTTGAAGCACGAAACGATTTCGCTGGTCTGTGGCGTGCAGTCGAAACCGCCACCCACGACCTTCCATTGGACCTTCAACAACTCCGGCGAGCTGATGAACATGCCGACTACTAGATTCACGCAGGTCAAGCTCAGTCTTATCACGAACCACTGGCACAGCTCCAGGCTGAATTACACGCCGGAAAACGATATGGATTACGGCACGATCGCCTGCTGGGCGAGAAATCGGATCGGGGTGCAGAGAACACCCTGTCTCTTTCAGATCATCGTTGCCGGGAAGCCCTATCCTTTACAGAACTGTTCGGCCCTCCAGTCGACCGGACCCTATGCGTATCGAATGGGTAAGTGAACTGGGAAGGGTTCCCGGAACCCTCTCAACGACCTGCTAACTGCATGTCATTACACTCGGCCATCATTATAGATGATGTCTTATAGTCGTTGCGCGTTCAATAGCTTGTGTCCTTGTTTCCCCTCGGAAGACGCAATTGCTCGTCAAATTAAATGGTCTGTCGTTATCGATTATTGGCTCTTTTGATTGCGCCTTTTTTTTGTACGCTGTTTTATTGGATATATAATTTTATTTACTTTTTTAACAAAGTTGTTATCAATTGGAGTATCTTTATTATATTCTAGCAAATACTATTATATTCTATTTAGTTGTACTATTATATTTGTTTGCTAACGAAAATCATCCGTTCATTTTATACAGATTTACGGCAATCAGAGGATTTTTAGTCAATTAAAATCGAAGTACTCTATCGTTAATTAACTACAGCACTGTATAGTTTGACACAAAAGTCTAGCGAAGACTATTATCCAATTAATTCGAACTGACCCCTCTAATCGACGCCATCAAGTGTACTTTGCTGCGAGAATGCTCGCGCAGAGAAGTAATTAGGTCTACCGAGACCGCGTGTTTTTCTTCCGTCGGGGAAGAGGGAGAGCTTAGCACCATCTCGAAATGTGTTCGTTCGTGTAAAACAGGTCACGAAGACTTTAAAGCCACCGACTCGAGGGACGCGGACTGGTTGATCGTCAGGTGCTCCGAGGGATTCGACGGCGGTTTGCCCCTGACTAATTACGAGCTGGAAGTCTACAACGAAGAGAACGTTTATCATGTCAATACCATCTACCTGAACCACACCGAGAGATCCGGCACGTCCGGTCCAGTTTTCGAAGTGCCCGGCTTGGAACCCGGACGGAATTACAGGCTTCATCTTTACGCCGTCAATGCCAAAGGTCGCAGCGACCCCGTTGTCTTGGAACCGGTCACCCTCAAAGGAGTAGCAATGTACACCACTGGTAAGTTTTTTTTCTCCCTAAAGCGCCAGTTGAGAAATTTCAGCGATATTCTCATAATGAAATGGCGTTCAAAGTATCCGTTTTGTAGGACGATACACTCACAGATAAGCGCGTCGCGTATATACAATATCGTCGCGTCAATTACTTAAAACAGTCAAGCTGATTAAGTGTTTATTGTGCGATACGAGTAAATAAACTTTTATCGATAAATTTTAAAAAGCCACAATATAAAGTCTTTGGGGATTATGTAATGTTTCAAAATTTTTCATGGAGTATATTCTTTTCAGTGTAATTTCCGGGTATTGATCTTAATATATGTAGATCATATTACGTCGGTAGAGAGTGTTTGCTCGTCGTGATTAATCCTCTCGTATCTTCATTACGTAATCTTAACTTCCGCGGCAAAATAATAACGAGGTGAGTTAATAAACGCTAACCATCGCAGAAAGAATTTCGAAACATTTGGCTAGAGCTCTTAATTGGACCAAATTGCACGACGAAATTAAGTATACACGTCGCATAAACGCTTCTGTTTATTTTCGACGCTATTATGCACGCATTTGGATTTCTTAAAATGCTTACTTGACGTCAAACTAGTTTCTTCAATGTGTCTTTTTCCATTTTTTGTTTAACATAAGCTTTTGTAAACAATTATTATTTTACATACCATGCTCTTGTCTCTTTTCGTTTTTAATTATTCACGAATACTCTAAATATCTAATTATTTTTAATTATCTTTAACACTTTTGTCGTCGTACAATAATGACACATTAGATCGAATGATATATGTTTAGATCTCAACATCGGTGAAATATTAACAAAAGTTTATCGATCTCCGTGATAGACTTTTAAATTCTTCTATTAAATCTATTTCAGATTCCATTAATCTAAATAAATATTTGTCGTGATCGTATTTTAAACATGACAAGCTCGATGGCGCTATAAATCGGATCAAATATTAGTTTATATATTGACAAAAGAAATTACGTTTGACGTTACAGTCGAAATCGTTTCTTCAAAACTTTTCGACGTGATTTATACAGACTCTGCTTGCTTTTTGAAAAAGTGCAGTTACCAAAACTGCCATGCTTCTCAACATATCCCGCTATCTTTTGGAATTAAAATCCCATAAAGTCCCTTTTCTCGCCGCTGCTTTATTTTAGCTGCATATATCGTCTTTAATTTTCATCCTCGTGGATTATTCATGTCGACTCGCGCGCGATTTCCAGCCGTGTGGAAACACGAGCGTACAATTGTACATGTATGAGTGAATCCCGTATATACAATCGTGCGTATGACACGCACGCGTGTCTCGCTAGTTCCGAATCTCAAACTGCGCGCGCGAACACCGCTTTGTTGCATATCGGAAATCGCTTCAAGATCCTCAGACACTCCTATCTTACGTCAACCCGTTTCCGAGTATGTTTCATCTATTTGCGCGGGGATAACATTCTCTCTTAACGGTATAGCAAGAGAAAACGCTGGCGAAGGAATGGGAGAGAAGGAAAAGAGGCTTTTCAAATCCCGAGATGACGGGCCCGGACAACAGCCTTTACATTTTCCGTCTCCGTTCTCGATTGTATACGTTCGGGTCGAGTATATACGCATCACGGTGAACACACACGTATGTGTTTGTACATAACACACACACACACACACATACGATGAGCTCGTGAGAGAGATCGTTCGTTGACTAACGAACTGAGGCGTTTTCTGAATTCCAAAGAGCCTGGCCATCTCTATCCGCGGACCCGATTCTCTGTCTTTCTCTTAATCTTTGCTCCCGGAAGCAACCTGCGTTTCCTCCGTGATCCAATAAGTACACGGAAAAAGCGAATCTCGTTTACCGAACACGTCGGAGCGAATGTTGGACGCTGTTGATGTCGTCATCAGTTCTGATGTCCATCCTGATGAGGACGAATGTTCTTTGCCACTCGAGAGAATACACAGATACTACACACATTAAGAAATCACACGTTCGGTTGATGACGGTCAACTATTAATTTTGCGACGAGTATATTACAAGCGGAAGAAAAACAGACATTCTTTCTCTATTAATGTTTGATGTCTCAGACAATATTTAGATGTAATCTAATGAACGAGAAATACGATTACGCTTAATAAAAAATTCGAGAATGTAAAACTTTTCAGCTTATCAAAAAAAAAAAAAAAAAACGATAAATTCATCAGGATTGATTATATGTCGAAATTTGCACGATGATTCTCTTCTTGATGTGTGGATTTTCATCTCATGTAATGTTAAAGAACCGTAATGCACTGCGTGCCGATAAAATGTCACTCGCGACGTAAATTGCCGATACGAAATTTGCCGTTTAATGGAAATCGATTTGACGGTACCGAAAAAGAAAACGTTCCGAGCGGGTTCCCGTCGTTACGCACTAATCCGATGTGGCTGATTGCCGCTTAATTATCGAATTGTGACGTGCGCGCACTGTCGATGGTCCAAAACTAACTTGACATTCGCGCGATCAATAAATGCTCGCTTCGTGTTCATTTTGCAAGTAGATATCATCATCATCGTCGGATAAGTCAACAGAATTGCATGTAAAATCGATAAAATTTACTCGATAAAATAGTTTTCTATAATAACGGATAACTAACAAAACGCTACTTAGTCGCTGGAAATATAGCAAACACTTACACGCGAGTCTGTTTGACGTTTGGTCCGCAGGTCGCGGGATTTCGGACGAGACGACCGACTACAGCCTCCTAGTGGCGTGCTTCGCCGGCGGTGTAACAGCTATTTGCATTCTGATCGTCGGGATTACGTTAACGCTGTATCGTCGCAGCCATCCGACGCAAACCGCAAAGACGGAGCCGGCGGAGTACGCAGAGAACAAAGAGAACCGACGGCCACTGGTGGTACCACCGACGAACGAGGCAACTCAACGGGACAATCTGAAGGAGCAAATAACTGCGGAATTGCCGGACGACGACCCAGATGTAATACCCAGCAAGGCCGTCGAGAGACGGCCAGACATCTTCGAACCGTCCAGCTACGCATCCGGCAAACCGTCCGAACGTGCCAAGGACTTCAGATGTTTTGACGATCTTGATTATCCGTCACCTTCGTCGGTGCTTCACGCCAAAGACTCCTCCTGGATCTACCCGAACGGTTACGTGGAGAAGACCGAGAAAAGCTTGAGCCCGATACGACCCAGCACACTGCCAGTGCACCGCACTCATGATATCTACACGAGAAGTTTGCGTGTACAGGAGAGTTGTATATAGACGGAGAGAGTGGATATAAACGCGTTGCCGCGCAGAAACCCGAGATGCGCTCCTCCGGATACTCGCCAAATCATCACGCGCGATTATCGACGCTTGTAAATAGACAATAAATATCGTTAAGGATCGATCTTCCTTCCAATCGACTTGTCAACACATTCCTATTCTTGTTGGTTTTTTCACTTAGGAGTAAGAAATAGCTGTTCAGTTTTGTTCCAAAGGAAAAAGAAACGTGATACTCTCGTCGCGTCGTCGCGTCGTCTCGATTCAGCCGGGCGCGATCACGCGCGTGTACAGAGACAATAATTTCCGCCGTAAAAAAAAAAAAAAAAAAGATATACCCGTCACCTCTCTCTGTCTCTTCGTCGGAAGCCTTCCCAAAAAAAAAAAAAAAAAAAAACCATTCGTGTATGTCTGATGAAATGAGCGTAAATGTCTTTGTCTACGAATGTGCTTTGTGGATTAATTCAATGGATATGTAAACGTTTGTATATACGAATAATAAATCTTGTTGTTTAATATGCACACTCTGATTCACTTTGTTATCTCATTCACTTTGACATCCGCATTTCTCAGTCATGGCCAACAGTCACTTAAACCGACAATTAACTTTCTTCGAAGGGGGTAAGTATTAAAAAGAGAAGCAATTTCTTTTGAACGAGTTTGGCATTTCATTTCTCGTGAACTTCATTTTAATTAATGAATCCTCACGACGCGATGCGGCTAAAAATAAAATTGTCCATCGTCGTCGATGTACAGACTCGTTGGACGTTTTGCGCGTGCTCGCGTGCCCGCCATAGTGACAGTTTGACAGGTTGGTGAATTGGCTCGCCGGACGATAGTTAAATTGGCACTTACTAACAACGTCATACAGCCGCAATATTCGCACGCGATATGAATGACCAAGTCGTACAGAGGATTAGCTCAACTCAATTACAGATAAATTGGTTGAGCGGGGAAATGCCAAAAATACATACCACGCTCAACGAACATGTGACGACAATCGCTTCTCTCACGATTCGCGCCTATACAAACAAACAGAGTGAAAATTTCGAGATCGAGACGCGTTCGAGTGTCGCGATTTGTACTCTATTCGATTTCTCTAGGTCGCGCGTGTTCTGATCGTCGTCGGTGTGAACGACACAGCAACCGCGAGCTCGTCGTTAAGCCTTCAGCACACGATTTTTGTTGTTTGCGCTATTTCAGCGTCATCGCGCGGTTTGTTCTTTAACAGACTTCCGATAAGTTGCTTGTCGCTGTTGGTTGCGCGATAAACTAGAAATCGTAGACGTTTCCGTCCTGTCTGCGTACCAACGCGGCGACGCTTCAAGATCTGTCAAGGCTCGCGGGCGGCGATAAATCACATCGTGATTAGGACAACGTTGTCGTTCCACTTCGATTCTCACCCCCATCGACTCCTTTTCACGTCGAGCGGAAATAAACTGCCAACAATCCGGCGGGCTGCGGAAACGGGCGATTCGATCGAGTCCGACTAACCCTGACTTGACCTCGCCATTCGCCATCTTCCGGTCCTCCTTGCTGTGGTCACCGTCGCTGAGTTTCATCGTGCAAAATAAGCTATCGTTATGTGACACTCGTTCGTCGTCGCCATCGGATTCCCCTTGTCCCGTTTGTCGTCCGCAAGTCCTTTGTACACGAAGTGACAGAGACAGATCCTCTGGCGTCGCGCGGCTCGGAAGAGAGAACGGTAGTTTCGAGGTAAACAAACCGCAATATTTCCCAAAGAGAGTTCCGCTCTGCGGGATGCGCCACGTTGGCAAGCGCATTCGAAATAATTTGACGACTCTTACACTTGTAGTGGATTTTGTTGGTTCCTCGGAGTAATTCCTCGGGAGTAATTCTTGCGTCACTATGCGACGCGCGATTAATCGAATATACGTTTGTACATACAGGGTGTTCAGTCAGTCGTTTCGCAAGCTCACGGTTACTGGACGCGCGGCTCAAAGAAGTAAATAAAACTGCACGTAATAATAATGTTTTCATTGTGTTTGACACTTATCTTTATTGATCAACAACTCATCAGCCATCATTGAGAATCTCGCAAAATAAAGTAAAACACTTCATCAGTACAATCCGTTCTTTTACGATAGGTGCCGTTATTAGCGAACACCTTGTATATGTAGTCGCGTTCCCCGACGCGGAGAAAGTACGGATGGGAAAATCTATTTAGACACAAATTCATGAAATTCCGCCGCCAAGGTCCTCTTATTATCTGGAGAACAACGGTGATTTCAAGCGTCAAAGCGGAGAAATTAATTATTCCTTCTGACAATGATAGACGTTATTCTTGCACAAGACTTAATTTCGTTTTCGTGAAAACGCGCGACTTAAATGAAGATTGAGAGCGATTGCATTAAGTATTTCGTTAATCCTATTCTTGAATAGAACGCTGAACGGCGTCATTAATTTGCACTCGGCTATCCGGTAAATTAGGTTCTCCGCTTAGCTTCTCCACGCGACTCTATTCGACAAATTAACATTTTAGATCGCACTGTCACGAGAATATTACTTGGTTTCTGTTGACTGTGTTTGAGTGTTTATTCCGAACGTGAATTCGCGACGACAGAGCCTCTAAGGTAGAGCAAAACTAGTTGAGCCTAGGGGCAAGTTGCAAATATCTCAATGATCAAAATGCGTATGGATATGTTCATGCCTGCGTAAAACAACGCGGAAATGAAAACCACTACTACTACGTTTGTATTTTTCTGCACTTTTATCGTGAATTGAAAATCTCAAACAGAGTGAGACTCAATCTATCGTAAAAACTAAGTGCGAGTAATTGGGCGCTATCGTGCGAGAGATGACAAAAAATTTGATAAAAAAACCTTGCTTTAAGTAAAGAAGAACGTGAGGCATTTGCTTTAAGAGTGTAAATGCTCGAAATTCCTGGTTGAAAAGAGTGTATTTATTCACAGTAGTGAGCTCAAACGACTGCGGGTCGAGAATAACAGTAGCAAAAGCCCTGCGGTATCGTGCCAGCAATGTTCCGGAACAGAGAGTATTGGGATATTGTTCGCGATATGATACCGTGAAATTTTATATTTTTTCGCTAAGACCTCTGATCTAGTCAACGTTCCTACTTGAAATATCGCAGTAGAGCATTTTCCAAAATCGACGCTTTTAATATATTTTTTTTTTCCTCTTCCGTCTCGCGCGCATTAATCATCACTCTTTAAACGCGAGAGAAACGCGTTGCAATCTACAATATTATGTCCAATATACAGCGATATCTATTATATCGCCGCTATATGAGAAATTCCAGGCTTCCTCTCACATATTAACACAGAACAGTGAATATAATTTTCAAACATGCATAATTTACGTGTCTGTTTTCCGTGTCGCGCGTTTGCGTCGTTATACATATATATATATATATATATATATACGTGTATATATTGATTGCGTCGTTCGCATCGAGTTATGCATATATTATATGCATACATTGACGTTTCGACTCTCTGGAACTCGTAACAAACAAAATCGGTCAAGTCCGAAACTGGTCTTGAGACAAAACTAACCGGACATCTCTTGAGACGTCGTATTCTGGCGAAGCACATCAAAAGCCAAAAATATCAAGAATATTGTTCGCGATACGATACCGTGAAATTTTGCGACGTCACCGGGCGAACGAAGCGGGCATCAGCACGATTCCGGATAATTTTTCCATAAAAATTTTCTATGTCACGCCAGTTATACGCGCTGACGACAAAAGGCGATTAATTACGTCGATTTTTTCCTCTTTCTCTATGTCGAAAACGCGATGCGGATTTCTCTCGACTCGCAAATTATAACGTGAAAGGTAATGTAGACGCGCGCGCGCTTGGCGTTTTTGAAGCGAAAATTCGTCGATGAAAATGTGATTCCGCGCTTCTCTTGTTCCATAACTTTCATTATACGTCAAAGTTTCTGTCCCGATCAACGGTAATGTTATAAGTAGCTGTTCGACGTGATGCTGAAAGGCTTAATATTTCACCGATCGCATATCCGTTTCTCTCACGTCTGCGGAAGATACGAGCGGTGAAGCGTCGACCCAATAACGCAGTCGTTAGACAAAGTTGAAATATATCGCACGTTCAATGAAGGAATCGAATGATACGGGAACCGGATATTTCATTTTGAAACTCGACACTACGGCATATCAACGCGGAATTGCTCTCGTCTGTAGAAGTATTGCCGAACTTCCGTTACAAATTTTACTTTTTCTCTTCACTCCTGGAGCAAAGTAATTGGCTCCTCTCCCCATAGACCCCTTCCTCCAGACGTTACCGAGTTAAGTGTCTCGCGGATCTGCTTTCTTCCTTTTTACGAGGAAAAAGAAAGTCCTGGCAGAGCGTTCGAGTTCATAAATTTCATCTCGCCCGCCGTCGAATTTCCCGATGAAAAAGATTTACGAAGAGTAGAAATATTGAGAAAGAGAGAGAGAGAGAGCAGAGGGGAGAAAGGGAAAAAGAGTGTGAGAAAACTGTTTTCTCATAACCCGTTTTCTAATACTTCTTTAATTTCCCGTTTTCCACGGCCTATTTCTCCCGCGCTGGGTACTCGACACTGATGCGATTAAAGCAACGTTCCCTTTACCGACCACACCGTCAACAATCGTCAATACGTTTTATGAAGCTTCGTGTCTTATTCTTTTCTTTATCTTCTTTTTTTTTATCAGGTCGGTGATGGTCGACGTAATAATCTCTCACATACAAGGCATGCGCGCGCGACACATTGTGTCGAAAGTCGATTAAATGCCGTCTATTTGCATGGTAATGCATAATAATTAGCGGTTAAACTAGGACGCGACAGATAGGTAGACGAGCAGCCTCTAGCTCTCCTGTCTATCGCATCTCAACATTCTCAACTGCAGCATGCAACCACAATCCTTCGTAATACCAACGCGCGCCTTCGTCTCACAGATGTTTCCTCTTCGCATATTTCGTATGTACGGGATGTAAATATGCCAGCCAGATGCGTTTCAATCCGCACTTTAGCGTACTAATGTTTTCACGCATAATCGCCGATCACGTTCGAGCAATTTGTTGCAATACTAGTACGCTTGCGCACCTTCTAACTAGCTTTTCGTATTAAGTCGTTTCACGTGTAAATGCATTGTATTTCAAAACTAGATATTTCTCTGTGTGATGTATTGTTTCTAAAAAAAAGAGAAGATAAATGATCCAATAAGTTTTTCAAAACGGTTTTACAATTGAAAAAAAATTCAATTGTAAAACGTAATAATTTGCTATATTATTGTCTTTACGTTTTTTTCTGTTAAACAATTCGTCTGTTCAATTCGCGGTTACAGTTTTCAAAGTTCAACATTTTTATCCTC